CGGGAAGGTTAGAGGTAATGAGGTTATTCTCGTGTTGTTCCCTTTATGGTGAGCCGACGCCGTCGCAATCTCGTAATTTTATGCGACTTTCCTTCCGTCAGGTGACCTACCACATTGACTGCTTGCTGGAGGATTGGTACCCAGACCTGGGCACCCGGTTTCACCAGTCCACCAGCGGAACCCTTCTCATCCATCGCATAGTTCCCTGCACTGCCTGCATTCGCCATATTTCACCCTGTTCGTCGGAAGCCACAGGCGATGCCAAGTAAGCCATCGCCCTCTCCCCCCATTCTTCCTCTTTCCTGCACTACATACATTCCACATGACCGAACTACGCACGCAAAATACTGAAATTTATAATGATCAATCTCAACCCAACAAAGCTGCATGTTTTAAGCAAATCTAAAGCTAAGAGGAATGTAAAAAAACATCTACAGCTTGTTGAAAAATACCAACTTTTTTTAAGAAACGGCATATAGTCCGAAAACGAGGAAAATCACCGTAACTGTGATCAATTTCCAAAAAGGTGTTCTGAGTCTGAACTCAAATCAACCAATCATATTAACGTTATCAAATGTACGCTAAACCGTCCACTCATATTTCGATCAGGGCATGTCTTGAGTTAGGATATCTGTTGTATGTTTCGGTCCTCTGATTTCGTCTAACTGTGTTTCTACCTAGAACTCCTGTGTACGACGCATCTCTGCTCCCCTTGAAAGAAAAACGGCACTTGTTTGTTCCGAAGTTGCTTTCTCAGGCGTCGTCTATTCGTGACGAGTACTCATGGTATGTTTTGATTGGTTTTTTCACCGTTTGCTTCAAGGCCTGTACTGGGGCAGCAGCATTCAAACATGTATTTACTCGAAGTAGCATAAACCCAGATTTCCCACTCCTTACTGAGACTGAGGGAGGTATGAGTCCCAGCGTTGATTTCAAATCAGCTTCACTTTTGACAAATGTTTAGCGTCAGAAATAGTGCCAGTGCTACTAAGACTCGGCTACATTGATAGTCAGTAGTAGTAGAAGCAGTAGTAACCGTATCAGTCTGAGCCTTATTGGGCCTGTTTTCACACCCACGATGGTGGGTTAGGATAGATCGTACAGTAGTACGTGCGCAAAGTCTACTGTCACTTAAGGCTAGATTAGGCGGGGTGTCGGCTTGCATTGGAGAAAGCACCCTACGCCGGGCCCCGTTTAGTCTTCGAGACTCCGGGCCAAGGTGAAGAGTGCAGTTGACGCTAACTGCGTCCGCTATTTGCGAATGTTTCTGATGATGGTTTTGATCAAGCATCCGAAACTTGGAACCAATTAACTACATATTCCAGCGTCAATTGCATGTCCTCTTCTGAACTACTTCCGGAATTCTCCTTTTCGCTTCTATTAACAGTGGTATTTGTTGTTGCCCTCCCAGTAATCGAAGAATGTGCACATAAATATATTAAGTATTATTAGAAAGTAGTTTAATGGGAATGTCTCCATTTTCTTCTTCCTTCTTTTACAGCGGCACTTCCAACATAGTCTACGGCATTTTGGTGGAGGAGTTTGTGCACTGGTTTCTCTCTGCCTGTGGGATATCCGCGCTCAGTGGTCGGCTTCGCCTGGCCTGTCCCCTGCACACTACCTTCGCCTTTCCGGCAAATGATCTGGTAAGTTTGCCTATTTCTTCTAGCTCAACTGCCTGACAATTCTATTTCCTTTGTCTCGCTACTTAATAAAAGTAAGTAACCAAGAATGCGCAATATTTTGTCGTCCACTTTGAGCCTCAGTGTGAAGGAGGTACAACCGGTGCTTGTCATGCAGCGTGTGTGGGTATTTTATTCGGATAGGGCACATTCGTGCTACCATACCTTTTGTGTTTTGAACTTTTAAAGTTTCCTTTTAAACATCTACATTCTCGCTCACACAATTGCGATTTCTCTTATCGATGATGTTGTGGATAGTTAGCTAACAGTTAATCGAAATATTTTGAAATAATCACTCGAGCCTTTATTGGACTTTTGTTTACTGTTATCGCTAGGCTCTTTTTGCGCCTACATCGGAAATATTTTTAACTTACATCCTCTGGAACACTTTAAGCTTGCAAAATCTTCTCGACCGCATGTTTATTTCGCCAGGCAGTTTTGGAATGCTATTTGTATTACCTACTGCCATCAGGGGTGTTTCGGTGCTGAGGGTTTTTTAAACAAAATCCCCTTCCCCAAAGCTTTACAGCAGTAAAGCAACAATTGTTCTTAAAGGAAAATATATTGCCGCAACGTTTAGTAGCGTAGGAACTTCCTGGGATATAAAGAAACGTTTGATTTGGACTACTTTTTCCTTCAGTTCACTTATCCGAACTGCAATTTTTTCTAGTTAACGGCATTTTGTATGTCAAGTTCATGAGTTTGACAATCTCCTGTATATCCTGTCGTTTCAACCTCATTCTCTCTCTTTTCACTTTCAGTCGCCATTCTTCCCCTCCCTCTGTTTGCATGTAAACAATTTTACATACACGTCGTTTGGCCTACTTCGCCCATTGTAAACTAACTGTTATCCCTCTTTGTTTATTTGAAATAAAATGGCGTCATGAGTGCTCAAGGCCACATTGCTAGCGCTGTTTTGAAAGCAGTCCAATTTGACCTATATTCGATGACTCTCCCTAGGACATTTATCCATGATGTCGAAAATTGCAGTCAATAGGCGTTTGTGAATTTCTTTTGATATCTCGGTGTTGTGAGTTGGCTCGCCTAATTTTTTTCATTTTGAACGGAGGGCCTTTTTTGCTGAAAATTTGGAATGTTTTTTTCGCAATAAGACGTC